GTTGTAGAATGATATATTTTTTGTGTGGATTTTCAAATTTCATGTACCCTGATAGGTATCACTGATTGGAATACTTACTGGGGTATGTATATGCAAATACAACAAGAAATCTGTTTGCTTGTCATATAAGATTATGTCACATATCACAAAAGCAAGACAAAAGCAGTATCTGTGGGCCAATTTAAAGCATCACAATGAATCCAAGAGTCAAGGTTTTGGGTTGACTCAGCCAAAGAAATCTCTTTCACTGGCCTATTTCCTGATGAGGCAAGAGACATCTCTTGAGGATCCTTGTGTATTGTTAAAGTAACAGATTCAGCAGAGATAATGTTAACATTCATTATTTTTTCCAGGAAATTAAGTTTTGCTTGATTAGCACCACAAAAGAATTTCCTATTATGGCAGGTAAAAGAAAACAGTAAGATAATGGAGGAACACAATAAGATTAACTATCCTTTAGGAGGTGGAAATAGCAGGCACATTGGTGGATGTGATTATGCAATGTACTTAAAGAATATAAAGTTCATTATTAAAATATATACAGTATCTTAAAATTCAAGAAACTAAATTCTACTATTCCCTGAGCAGTGATAAGTAGCATTCCATGGCAAAGGAAACAAGTGGGAAAAGATGCTCAAAGAGGATAGAAGTTCCTAAAAAAGGAAGTGTTATAAGCACTGTTGGAACCAGTTTCAATGTGGAAAAGCAGAGAAAGTGGCAATTCTAAAGTATCATACTGGAGTGCAAATCATCTCCAAATTTACAGAATCTCAAGTTACATCAGCCCATGAATCTGGGTAGCAGAAGAATTTGGAAAGACTATGTTATGATTTTCCTTGAACCCAAAATATTTAGGCCATTATGACTCCTTGGCTGCAGAATATAATTGCCTAATACAGCAAAGACACTCCGATTCTCAACATCCTGTTACAGCTTTGATGCCTTAAATTAAATTAGACTGTTTGACTGTCCCCAAGTAAATCCAGATGGTTTTGGAATAATATAAGTGACTTTACAACAACAAAAAAAAGCAGAGACAAAAATCTTAGCAGGCAGATAAAGCTATTCATTTCTAACATTGGAGATTGGAGTTGTCATGGAATGGGAGTGGGGATCCCCTATTCTTCAAGAGTTTTCAGGGAGATTGTAGAGGCCTTTGATTTAAATCTGAAGCCTGAGAAACAATGGATGCCAGAGAAATTGATCCTAGGATAAATTACATTAAGGATACCTATGAAAAAATAATTTTCTTTTTCCTCCATCCTTCCATAAACCTCAAAAAGCTTCTGATTATGTATTTGGTCTTTCAACAATGAAAGGTGAGGAATAATGAAGGGAAAAGGCGAATACAGGTAGCCCTCAACTTACGGCCATGATTGAGCCCCAAATTTCTGTTGCTAAGTGAGATATTTGTTAAGTGAGTTTTGCCCCATTTTACGACCTTTATTGCCACCGTTGTTAAGTGAATCACCATAATTAATAACTTGGTTGTTAACTAAATCTGGCTTCCTCATTGACTTTGTCAAAAAGTTGCAAAAGGTGATCATGTGACCTTGGGACATGGCAATGGTTATAAGTATGAACCAGTTGCTAAATGTCTGAATGTTGATCACATGATTATGGGGATGCTACAAAGTTGTAAATGGTCGAAAAATGGTCATGTCACTTTTTTCAGTGTCGTTGTAACTTTGAGTGGTCATTAAATGAACTGTTGTAAGTCGAGGATCACTTATGCAGGAATCACAAAATATTCTTTCTGTGAACTTCTTTAAGTTCAGTTATCTAAAGTAGAGATGAATACCTATTTTCCTGGAAAAAGATGACAAGATATAGATAAAAAGTTGGGAATCCTCAAGTATGTATATGCTGTATAATATTATGATTAGATTGTGCACCAGGTAACGTAAAGCCTTAAATACAGCTCTCCCAAACTTCCAAAAGGTGTATTGAAACTCTTACTTTTAAAAAAGGCAAAAACTATTAATATCTGACTGAAAAACAATTATTCTGATTATACAGTATTACAATTAATGTATATTTAAAAGGAACAGAATCAAATTCAATTTCAGCCCTGGATTTACCAATTGTTTTTTGAGGTATGGCTCCAAGCATGACCAAATGCGCCTTTCCCAGGAAAAGTTATGAACATCATCTTCTGGGCTGTTTGCGAAATGTTTTGAATATCTAAAGGTACTATATAAGCCATAATATTGTTGTGGCTACCAACAAGCTGGATTAGATCATAAACTATCTTAGCCTTTCCATCTGATGACAATTAGTGCTAAAGGATTTGGAAAATAAGATTTGTTGGAAGGATTCATTAGTTCACATTGTATTCCTAATAATCTTGAAGTTTAAAATATAGTAACTTTCCATTTGTAAAAGAGCTACAAATCTCAACCAGAAAGATTCCAATACATTTGAAGGACACCAATTTGTGAAAATCAACCTAAACACCAAGCTATGCCAACTATTTGGTTAGCTATGATTAATACTGATTTTTGTTGATTGCACAACCTCCAGTTGTCAACCAGATTATTTACAAAGCACTCCATAGTATATTTATTCTCAAATCTGCTTTAGGGTATGAGAAGATGGGGAATTCTAGTTTAATTTCCATAATTACTGGACAGTTGAAAAACTGTTATAACATGACAAATACAGAATGCATGATGCCAAGAAGACAAATATGTTGCCTCTTTTGTTTTCTCTTAAAAAACAAAGCTGATTTTGTAGCATCATCTTGTCTTATCTTGGCTAAGCTGGTGTTCTCTAGATGTTTTGGAGCACAACTCTTACCAGCTCCAACTATAACATCTCAGCTGATTACAGATGCTTTCTGAAATAACTGAAAGGAAGCAGTTTTTTTATTTACAATTAATAAATTCTAACCGTTTTGGTTTGTTCTCTGATTAGAAAACACAAGTAAAGGAAAAAGCAGATTCCAGGAAGTTGTTTTAATAGGTCAAACTAGATCTGGAGCAGTGACCTCCCTCAGGAGCAAAGAATCTTCATGTGCTTCTTTTAATCTAGAGCACCAAAAATGACATTATTCAAACAGTAGATTTTCAAACTGGGATACTTAAACAAGTTACATTAAAACAAAACCTACTGACCTCTAGAACAGTGGTTCTCAACCTGTGGGTCGGGACCCCATTTGGGGTCGAACGACCATTTCACGGGGGTCGCCAAACAACGCAGTCCGCCATTTTTCCCCCTTTTCCTTAGCTGTGCTACTCCCTTTTATTCTATTGGCTTTTGAAAGCCAATAGAATAGACTCTCTTGAATAGAGTCTAATTCTATTGGCTTTCAAAAGCCAATAGGAATTGTCCAGGCTGTCTCTGCCCTGCTGAGCCCGCCAAAAGTCCCATTCTGCAAACGGTGCTGCACCAGTTGAGTAGTCCTCGACTTATGACCGGTTGAGTAGTCCTCGACTTACGACCCGTTGGGGGTCGCGGCATTAAAAAGGTTGAGAACCACTGCCCTAGAATTAGCACTATTCAATACAAACTGGGACTTGTAGTCAGTGTCTCTTTTTGTCTCATCTCTCCCTGTAAACCACTGATGGCTTTTCTTATCCATTTCTTATATATATATTCTATTAATGCTAACAATTATTCTTACTATGAACAATTTATTATAAAAGTTGACTATATACCTTGCATGTAAGTTGTCATATTAACTGACAGTTAGTGGAAAAATCTCTCTATCCAAAGGATCCAATAAATGCAAAATCTCTCTCAAATCAAACCTGAGTACTGGATACATGGACACATCCTTGTAATTTTCTTAGTATCATGTCTTTTCCCAGGATTTTTTTTTTATTTAAAAAATCCAGTTCAACTTTCAGCCCTGAGATTGCCTAATGGTCTCCTAACCAAATTCTAATAGACCTGGCCCCACTCAATTTTTTAAGATCAAATTTTTAAGTTCAGCTATGTGTCACCACCTAGTAAGGCTGAGCAATCAAAACACTGGCTGCTAATATGAGTGATTCTGTGTGAATTCAGCAGCTTTCCTAATTTGTTTTCTTTTCTAATGTGTTATATTACATCGTCCATGATCATTAATCAGTAATTCAGGGAAGACTGGTTGGTATGTAGTCTTTCATAACACCCCATTGTCTTTCTAGCATCCTGTATGAAGGATGTGGGGAGAAGAGGATTGTGGGGAAGTTTAAACATGATGCATAAACTTTATTATCAGCCTCCAGCTCTAATCTTTAGGAAGCCAATTAATATCTGAGTTCGCTTTGGAACCAGTTGAATGGTTCAAAGGCTGGGGTTCTAAGTACTACAGTTTCAATCAGAATAGAGTTGGAAGGGACCTTGGAGGTCTTCTAGTCCAACCCTCTGCTCAAGCAGGAGATCCTATACCATTTCAGACAAGTGACTGTTCAGTTTCTTCTTAAAAACCTCCAGTGATGAAGCACCCACAACTTCTGATGGCAAGCTGTTCCATGGGTTAATTAGGAAGTTTCTCCTTAATTCCAGGTTGCTTCTCTCCCTGATTAGTTTCCATCCATTGTTTCTTGTCCTGCCTTCTGGTGCTTTGGAAAACAAATTGACCACCCTCTCAAATATTGGAATACCGCTATCATGTCTCTCCCCCACCCCCCCCAGTCCTCCTCCTTTTCTGTAGGCTAGCCAAACCCAGATCCATTGTTTGGGTAAGACACTTAGGATCGATACTCAATGCTTTGAAGACAGAGCATCCTAGAGCGGGAAGCAAAAAAGCAAGCATCTGACATAGCAATATAATCTAATTGGCAGGCATATCATGGGAAAATTTTTCCCAATGGCAAGCATGGCAGTTAACAAATATCCAGAACTAAAATATGTTTTAGAAAGGACTACCCCGGCTAGGGCTGAGGCATATAGTCAAGGCATTATTACTCCGCTCTAAGCATACCACTTCTTACTAAGGAACCGAAGGGATGAGCAAAGTCCCGCGCGGCGGTGTCCGCACTTTCCTTAGCACCGGCGGGATGACTACTCACGTAGAGTGCCGTGTGAGTCGCACCGAAGAAGGGGAACTTGACGGCGATGGGCTGGAGCCCAGAGCCGCCGTCGTCTTGTTGAGGGGTGGCCGCGTCTCCCTGCGCCAGCCCGAAGGGATAAAAGCCAGCCAGCGGCACGGCGCCCTTGGCTCTCAGACTGAACCAGCTGCCGAGCACCAGCAGCACCATCCATCCGGACAGGCCCCGCATCTCTTCGGCAGGCGTCGCAAGTAGGAGCGTGGAGACGGGGCCGGCTGAGAAGCAGCGTGCCTGGCAGGAGGAAGGCGCTGGCAGCGGCGAGGCAAGGAGCTCCCTGGGCTCTGTGGCAGGACCACGCCGGCTCCAGAGCCGCCAGACACGCTCGGCGAGCGACCAGAAGAGCGAAGGCTCAGCAAAGTTCCCGCACGCTCCCTGAGCCTTTCTGTGCGGCGGTGAGGAAGGGCACGGCGCCTCATTCACACAGGTCAGGACATAAATATTCATATCCTAGTCAGCCAATTGGGATGGGATCTGACGGAGGCGTCCCGGGACCTTAGGGGCGGAGTTAGAAGGATCAGCCTTTTCTTAAAGCGCTATGAAGATCCGTCGGGGATAGTTTAAGGCTTCGACTCGCGGAGCAGCAGCAACAGCAGCAGAATGCTTGGCAGCCAGGCAAGTTGGTTCAAGGTACCCGGTATTGCCTTCTTAAGCTGCAGTCCCTAGTGAGTTTCCTAAGAATGATGGGACTGCGTGCTACTTTGCACCTTTTCCTTCTTTAGTAAGTCACAAGGGTTAGTTAGCATTTGGCATCCTTTCGAAGTTATTACTCCAAAAAGCCAAACTGGTTTTATGCTGCAGGCCTTGCTGGGAGGATACAAAACCAGAGTTTCTGTGCCTACACCGATCCATAAACTAGCTAAGCACTTGGAAGTAATTTGCTTTGTAATTTGTAACACAGATGAATCCACCCTGCTTACAGACAACATTACTCCACTGTCTCTTGGGCATAGGAGCTCAAACATAGCCTTGTGCTCAAAAAAAACGGAGATGCGGCCATTAGGAAGACTGATAGAGGAAAAAAGTATTGAGAGCTTTTTTCCCCCCTGCCATACTCTGACTCTACTTCTCACTGCTTCTTGCGTGAAAAAGCTTCCAGATTTCATTTTTACGGAAGTGGTGGTTAAAATCTCACAGTCTGTGTCTCCCAACCATTGACAACAATGATCTAGTTGAAGCAAAGATGTATGTAAAAAATATTTTCTTCTATTCCCAGAATCAATTATCAAAGAACATTCTCCTTTCTAGCAAAAGATGAAACTCCCTCATTTTCTTCACTTTATTGCTATTTTCTGGATCTTGCAAACTAATGCTAGCTCAAGGGTATATAGTCCCCCTAGGCTAGAGTGACTGATGACGCCAACTCCTAATGATGCAAAGGTCTGTATTTTTGGAATGATTTGGGAGGAGGGCCAATGTTGGGCATTCCCAAAGCCAGTGTTCTCTTGGCCTTAAGCCCCTGCTACAGATTCTAGTGTTTCAAAATGTAAAACCTTTTTAAGATTAACCTGCAGTTTACTGATAGCACAGTGGATGTGCAAAAGCCACTACACTATAATCCAGGCCACAGGTTTTAGCCTAGCAAGTTGTGAAAACTCATTCTGTGTAATTCCTTTTACGGTTCAGAGTGTCATGGAAACTATGAAAATTGTGTTGTTAAGCATGATAAAGTTAACAGTGGTTACAGGTGCATAATAATTGAGAAGAATTTAAAATCTAAGCCACTTTAGTCTAAATTGGCAAGCATGTCAAGAACATATTAGCCTATTGTTATTTGCTGTTATAAAATAGCATATAGGAGTGAATAAAACATGGTTGTATTAACAACGGGCAAGCATGCCCTGCAACTGTAAAACACATTTTATTTTTTTAGATTCTTTTATCCCACTTTTATTACTTTTTAAATAAAGTGATAAATATATCTAAGACCCCTTCCTCTTCCTGTTTTACCCACAAGAACCACTCTGTGAGATGGGCTGGGTTGAGAGGGAGTGACTGGCCCAATGTCACCTAGCTGTCTTTCATAATTAAGGCAAGACTGTATCTCAGAATCTCCTGGTTTTTAGGCCAGAATCTTAACCACTACACTAAAAGTTAGATTACAAAGTTTATGACTGTGTGTTACAAAAAGACAGGGTAGTTAGCTTAGTTAACTAAAGCTTGGAAAAATATGCAAACACATATTCTGAAAGTATTACTTTATCTTCAACTATCAAAGAATCCTCACTTGAGTTCTGCTATAGAGAATTAATATTGCTATTAAAGATCTTGTGAATTGTGGTGTGAATAAAAAAGATAGAGAAATACATTGAAGTACTCAAGGTGCTTGTTGAAAGTGCTACATGCTGAAATCTCTAATGGCTTTTGCAACTAATTAAATCTGAGAGACAACAGTGTTTTAGTTAAGTGTTGTGGCTATTCTATTTTTCAAATTCCATTTTTGTGTCTTCTAATATAGCCATGTTCATTGGTGGTGGGGGGCATTTTCAGGATCAACACTGTACCTTCAACTCTTGGCCTCTTAGGCAGATATCCCAATGGAAAACTTATGAAAAGTGTGAATGTGTGTATCTTAATCTATATTATTTAGAGAAAGAAATACTCCCTCAACTTTTCTTTTTGGAATCTGTTGTTCCACCCACTTTCAGCTCAGTACTCTTTGCATTCCCTGAAATCATAATTGTTGTGTACTTGAGAAGGATGTCAGACTGCTGGTCACAGGCCATAATAGCCTGAGATTGGCATTTAGAATCATCAGATTGGAAGGAGCCATTTATGTATTAAGTCCAGCTCTGCTTGGTACAGGAATCTAATCAAAGCATTTTTGACACAAACATTCTACTAAAGTGGTGTCCATCACCCGTCATAGTGAGTGATTCTATTGTTGAAGTACATTTCCTGCAGGGAAGTGGTTTTTTTTTACTTTTTTCAGTATTTCTAATGTGAATGCCTTAAATTCATTATTCCATACCCTATATTAATGAGCATTCTTAGTTTAAGTCATTATTCCATGTCTTAAATGATGATAAAGAAGACTTGACCTTTTTTCTGTTTGACATCTTTTCAGATATTTGAAGTGTAATATCATATTCTCCCTTACACATGCCCAATTTCTTTCATCACATTGAACAGGACATAATTCCTAGTCCTTCCCCCCCCCCATCATCTCACTACAATTTCCATGTCTGTTCTAGTTTATCTGAATTTTTTTTAATGTGCAGTATAGTCCACAGGCAATCACAATATTTGAGGCAGCAACTGATCAGTACAGAACTATTACTGGGAACCATGCTTTAGTTGATGCAGCCTAAAATTACATATGCCCTTTTTAAAAAACCATATTACGCTGGTGATTCATATTCATCTCCAGTTTGTCAGAGCAGGACTGTTGCCTGTGTGAACAATTGATTGCTTCCTAGCATGAAGCCTGAGAAATTAAAATCAAGATGTAAGCTGTGGGGAAAAGTGAGAGAAAAAGAGTTCCAAATTTCAAATATGATGGATATAAGAAGGAACTGCACTTTTACATTGATAAGGGAAAATCAATTGCTTCAAGAGGTTCAAATATGCAATCAACATTTTTATCAGGCCCTGGCTTGTCAAGTGTCAGGGTAGCATCACAGCACTGTTGCAGTTGGGGGGAACTGGCAGAACTCGTCAAGGAAGGAAGAAAGAAAGGAAGAGAGGGAGGGAGATTCATTTCACTGGAATGTGTATGTTCTACAAAGTTAAGTGGTGTGCTGGTCCTTTGGTTGTCTTAATGATTGGTAGGCACTTACGCATATAGATAGGAACGAGTGACCTAGAGCTTCAAAAGCAGTGCACATCAGGGCTTTGCAGGCATATGGTTGCCATTTAGAGATCTTTTGAATAAACCTGCTTGCTGTTGATTCTCCCTTGTAATTGTTTTAACAATAGCAATAGCACTTAGACTTATATATCACCGCATAGTACTTTACAGTACTCTGCTCAGTTTAGTTTGGGTCTTCATTTTAATGGCCTTGGAAGGATGGAAGGCTGAATCAGCTTCAAACTCCAGGCTGTGGGCAGAGATAGCCTGCAATACTGCATTCTAACCACTGCACCACCGATGTTTAATGCTTTGGAATTTTTAAAATTTAAAATGTCCAACAGTAGATTAATGAAACAAACAAAAATCCCAGCTTCATTATTTTACAAGTCCACCAATTAAAAAAAAAAAAGAAAGGTGCATTGTGAGCAATAAAGAGCAAGCAGTAAATAACAAGGGACAAAATGGCTGTGGAAGACAGTGACCTGTGATCAAAAGGAAGTGGACATTCTGCAACTGTTGCACAGTAGCCAATTGGAAGCAATTGCTTACAGTGAAGTATAGCAGATGGACCACACAGCACACTTTGCCAGCAACAGTTGGAACAACTATTTATAAGATGAAGTTAGAAAAGACAAAGGGAGGTTATCTTCGTGGTGGTCTGTGGGTAGGTTGAGGATAATGTGCACTTTTGTCCTCCAAAAAAATCCCAAAAACCAATTAGTGGACTATTCCTGTGCCAGCGCAAACCTTAAATCAGGTATTTCCCATCCTAAAGCTGTTGTTTAATTTTGGTTTCCTAAGTGATGAACTTTCCATTTGTGTCTGTTAAATTTCATCCTGTGTAAGGAGTTTATTTTTTTCCTCCAAATAACTACAGTACTGTGAATGGGGAAGGAACACTGACAAGAGCAAAACTCCCTTCCTAGATCTTCAAAGTCCATTGATAGTATTGTAGCTGTTCTTTGCAACAAGAGCATTTCTGTGATTTGTTCTGCTATTTCTTTGAGCTTCACTCTGGAAGAGAATGTGCTTCACCAGTCAGTTGGTCTGGTCAGCTTATATTTGCTTTAGTCCCTTCTAAGAGAAAGTCACTCTACAATATTTTTTCTCTTTGCTTTCTTGTTGGGTGAAATTAACTCCATTGACTTTGCTTGTCAGAAGGTCACAAAAGGTGATCACGTGACTCCGGGACACTGCAACCATCATAAATATGGGTCAGTTGATAAGTGTCTGAATTTTCATCATGTGACCATGGGGGTGCTGCAATAGTCGTAGGTGTGTAAAGTGGTCATAAGTGACTTTTTTCAGTGCCATTGTAACTTTGAACAGTCACTAAATGAACTGTTGTAAGTTGAGGACTACCTGTATAGAGAACTTCTAATCTCTTGTAGTACCTTCTTTTTTTATTTGACTGATCTTCAGCCTTGCCTATGAGCTGAAATGGAGGCACTCACTGTTCCAATCCTCTAACTTTTTCTTCAAGGATCACTGTGAGCAAATATGTATCAGGTAACTTCAGGCAGGAATGTAACCATTTACAGGTTATTTATTTGTAAACTAGATTCTAAGCAACCTACAATAATACAAATATTTGTACAAAAAGTTATCACCGATTCTGTCTGCTTATCTTCATTCTAGAGAGTTAAAAGTATTTTAGGTACTACCAATTATTTAACTAGGTGGCATCATAGATAGCTACTTGCCATCTATTTCAGTCTTCAGCAAGTTACTTGAAGTTCTTCCCAGAACCATTCTATAATTTCTTCAATCCAGTCCATCCACTTTATCTGTGCACTTCCACTTCTTGTCAAGTGCTGGGATTTTTTTTTTAGACCATCATCCACTCTCATCACATTTTCAAAGTATGTGTATTTCTGTTGCTAAGCATAGCATGAAGGAAGCAATTATCCTTTACTTGGGCACAGATTGATTGAATCT